AGTGCCCCATGATGGTTCATTACCACTCTAATTAATGAAAAATAGATCCTGTAATGAGCAACAGTCACTGCTATCACTTAATGCTCTGAAACACTGTTTGCCAGCCATGAAGTTCAAGGGCCTGATTACAGATAATGGACTTAAGCTTCCTGTTGGGAATTTGCTCATTCTGCAGCCTCAACAATATTTGAACTTTTGACATTTCCATCATACTGTAGCTTGACTAGAGGTAAAATAGAAGCAGCTGTGGTGAAACTGCTAATGGACTAACTGAAATACATGAAGTCTTTCACTCGGCTGGACCACCAGGAAGTGTAGCTGCCCAGGAGAAATGTAATATTACTAGAAGTAGGCTCAAATTTAAAGTGAAAAAATTCTGTAATAGGAGTTTCCACCCCCAAATTTAAATTGAATAAAGTTTAGACATTAGAGTTAGCAATGTGCCCTGACAGCCAGGAGAGCCAACCCTGTCCTGGGGGCATCAGGCACAGCATCACCAGCTGGGCAAGGGAGGGGATTGTCCTGCTCTGCTCTGCACTGGGGCAGCCTCACCTCGAGTGCTGGGGGCAGTTCTGGGCACCACAATGTAAGAAAGACATTAAACTATTAGAGAGTGTCCAAGGAGGGCAACAAAGATGGTGAAGGGCCTTGAGGGGAAGCTGTGAGGAGCAGCTGAGGGCACTGGGTCTGTTCAGCCTGGAGGAGACTGAGGGGAGACCTCACTGCAGTTACAGCTTCCTTGTGAGGGGAAGAGGAGGGGCAGGCACTGATCTCTGCTCTGTGGTGACCAGAGACAGGATCTGAAGATATGTCAGGGGAGTTTTAGGTTGGATATCGGGAAAAATTTCTTCCCCCAGAGGTTGGCTGGGCACTGAACAGGCTTCTCAGGGAAGTGGTCGCAGCACCAAGCCTGACAGAGTGCAAGAAGTGTTTGGACAGTGCTCTCAGGCACACGGTGTGACTCTTGGGGATGGGTCTGTGCAGGGCCAAGGGCTGGACTGTGATGATCCCTGTGGGCCAGCTCAGGATGTTCTATGAATCTATGTTAAAAATTCAGTTGCTCTTGTTGAGCTTTCTCACATATGAGTTCCAAAGTCTCTTACAGGATCAGTGGAGTGAAAGAAGTTCCTCTGAAAGCTCAGTGGACCTCAGACATGCAGGTGAGGCCAGAAGGATCTTACTCTTCTGACCAAGAGTTTGTTGTTTATTATTCCTAAATATTTTTACAGTGCCCCAAGTGGAAGCTGCCCTCACAGACTGAGATCTCACTCAGTCCGTGATATGTGTATCAGAGGATTATGGTAAATCCTCTGACACACACAGGAGAGTGGCCAGAAGTTTAATTTTGCCAGGTGACATGCCATCATCTGGAAGCCCATTGCCAGAGGAAGGACAATGGACTCTTCGTTTATTTCAGTGTCCCCAAATGGCTTTACAGGGAGTGGATGCCATATATCTTCCCAGTTAGACTTGTCCTCTTTTATTTTCAGGATCTTCAATGAGCTAAGGCACAGGCATCAAGTTCTTCCTGGTTTGCCAGCATCCCTGACCTCCGGAGGCTCCAGAGAGCAGTTAGAATATGCATTGCTTGGATTGCTGCTCTTCTGAGCAGTACAACACAGCAACACTGCTCTGCAGTGCTAACAGCCAGGCTTCAGAGTGATATACCTGTGATATTTAAGATTTGCAGGGATATATACATATTTAAGTACCTTACATGCCTGTAAGGATGCATTGCCATGTACACAAATCAGAGAAAATTAGGGATGTCAGGTAACATGGGAGAAAGTACAAAGCAAGTTTTACTACTACACTGTTATTTACAATTTTACAGAAATAAATAAGGGTACAAAACTGTCAAATAATTTGATAGATGTAATTACTAACCTGGTAGCAGACAATGATGCTGGATGAACTAATTTGTCAGAGCAGTGACATTGTAGGCACACTAACATAAACACAGAGCTTTGGCCCTGAATAAAACTTCTCTGCTTATTAGGTTATTAATGGAAAAAATAAAGGCTGTCTAAATGTTGTTTTTGGGGCAATCCTCAAATTTGTTATTTCTAGCCCTTAGGCCACTGCCCTATGTGATTTGTTTTTAATCACAAAAAAATAATCAGGGAAAAGATCTGCCAGAGATCTACATCAAGTTTAATTAATAGTAAACAGACTAAGTCTTCTAAAATATTATTGTTTCACTGTAACAATAAACGGAAAGGATAATTGAATGGATGGCTAAGTAAATAATTAAAAGTAATGGGCCCAAACTGGCCATGGAATCTCTCTTAAGGACACCTTAGCACCAATTTAATTGAGTTCCCCCTGAAGCCATCTTTTCTCCAGGATGAACATTACAGGTCCTTCAGCTTCTCCCCACGGAGCAACCTGCTCCAGCACTGATCATCCTCATGGCTTCATTGAACTCACTCCAGTTTTTTAAGGTCTTTCAGGTACGGTGTTGGAGGGGGAAAATGGGGTGCAGTATCTTGGATATGGTCTAACGAGTGGTGAGCAAAGAGAGATAATCATCTATTGATTGTGCTCTGGCTAACACAGCCTCCCGACCTTTGCTGCTGCCTCACACTTTGCCATGACTGCAAAGCCAAGGTGTCAGGCAAGTACTACTTTATATAGCAAGAGACGCAAGGTGACTTGGTTTTCCTCAAAAGATCAAATTTGGAAAGATGCTGAACATCAGAACATCAGAAACTCCCTTCTGGGACACTAAAGTCCAGAAATGGACTCAAGTCAATGAACAGAAGAAGAGACATGCAGAACAGTCAATGGCAAGAAAGTCAAGCTATTGCTTTAGTTTCCAGATGTTGCAGAACAAAGTTGCCTTTCCATCCAGTGCACCAGCATGGGAAGACATCCACAAGCAATAGACTGTTGTCTACTAATTAATTCTGCTAGCAAATGATAGAGTTCCAAGTGGGACAGAATTATGCTTTTAAGGCCAGGGACTGCTCACATAAAAATAGATGAAACAAGAAGAGCAGGTGAATTTCATATAAGGGAGGAAATACCATAATCAAGTGAGGTAAATCCACACCCCCAGGGTGATCTCTGCCAGAAGACCTGCTTGAACTATTTCACCAACAGTAAGAGGGTAGATATGAGTAGTTTCAAGGAAGGCATGGAAATCTGTACAGTCCCCCTGTGAATCATAGAATTATTTAGGTTGGGAAGGACTTTTAAGATCATTGAGTCAAACTGTAAACCCAGCACTGGCAAGTCCACCCCTGAACTATGTCCCTAAGCACCACACCTACGTCTTTTAAATATGCAGAATTTTGTACAAGGAAGAACTCCTGCATTCAGTTTTGCTGAGAATTAACACCTCAGAGTGAAGTTAATCACTGGTATAAAACTTGCCAGTTGAATGGAGACAGGAAAAGCAGAATCAAACAAACTGCTGTGTTTCTATACAATGGCATTTGGAAGAGTAGCAAAACAAACACTCTGGGAAGTCAAACGGTTCTTGTAACTTGAAAATTTCAAAGGTGTTTTTAGTAAGTTCTAAATTGCCATAGTAAGTTAATTTACTAAATTAAGAGTGGTGCTTTCTTATGATTGTGCCCTGACAAAACCTGACTACTGCAAAATTTCTAGTGCACCATAAAATCTTAGAATAATGGTAAGTCTGGTTAAGGAAGGTAGCCATGTTTTGTGATTTCCACTTTCTGCTAGGCATGGAAATCTTGGGGTGAGTGTGTGACCTGCCAAAGTATCTACCCACATTCCCTGCTGCCCAAAAAACCAAATACCAATCCTGATACTTGCCCCTCTCCCATAGTTTCATAAAACAGCATAGATGGGGTGTTTCTTTCTGAGAGGGTGACAATCTGGGTGCCTTCCTAGCTGCTCATGCAAATTTCTCCATTGCAGGAGTGGCTTAGTAGGACGAAGTGTGGATTTACCAGGGAATGAGGTGGAAGGAAAAAACTTGCTGTACACATTAGGCCTAACCAGTGTACTGGTCTGCCATGCCAAGGAACACTGTGTAATTCCTGTTTAGACCAGGATGGCGTTCATCTACTGCTTGCACTGAAACCCATGTGTTTCATGGCTCTAGACGTATGACTGACTCCATGTACTAGCTGCTGTAGAGATGTATGGAAGAACATATTTCTTGCCCAGTTGATCCATAAGTTGTATTGGGATATAGGCAGATGAAATTAAAGGCTAGAGAGAGAAAGGAAGTTGAGAGAGAAGTTGGGATATTGATATCCTGAAGTTTCACAGATGATCTGTAAAAAGCATTTTCTCTAAACCATTAGAAAATAAGAAATTATCAGATGAGTTTGATCTTTGATTTCTGCCTTTATTGGGAAACTGTTTTCCTGCAGATCCCTTTTCAAAATAGGGTTTTGGCTGGTTGTGAGTCTATTCACCATTGTCACAGACAAATTCTAAAGCAAAGAAGGGAAGGAATAGCATCTTGAAATACATGTAGAAGAAATAATGAAGCAGATACTGTATCCTATGCTAGTGTCACTGCAAAGCTGATATGTGGAGTCATGCAGAGAACACCCACACAGGAAGCAGCAATGTTGTCAGATGTCTCTAGTGAGGTTTTCAAACTTGCAGTGTCTGATCACAGAGGTTAAATAAGAAGAACATGATACGCACACACGTGTGTGTGGTATCTATGCAGGTATGTACAAGACGTCATGTGTTCATTCAAAGCATACATCTCCTCTGATTTTCAATGAGATCAGCTCTCAACCCCTCATTTGTCCACTATATAGGCCAGCTGTATGAGATTCATAGGAAAATGTCTTCTGGAGAGCATAAGAAACATGGACTGGCTGGTTTTTAGGGATGTCACTATTTGTATCTAAAGAAATCCTGGGCAGATGAGAGTTGACACACAGCTATTCTGAGCGTACAGCTGGTTGCTGTAAATAGAGTCTGATTCCAATAGTTTTCATTCAGAAACAAAACAGGAGAGGGCAGATGTTTATCTCAAAATGAGTTAGAGCTGGGACACTCACCTATCACACAGAACGGTTTCCTTGCAAAGCGCAGTCTTCCTTGCCATCCTCGGTATCGACAGCAGCACCCAGCAGACCAGATACGAATAATAAATTCCAAACCAAAGACAACAATCATGACAAACTCCTAGAAACAGCAAATAAGAAAAATGCCTGTTACATATAACCAACATTTAAGCATCAGGAAACTTATCACTTCTGTTTGTGTCTAACAATCCACCTTGAGCATCTGAATATCCCAAGCAAAACTTGGGATCCTGCTCCCCAGGATGGTTACACATCTACAAGCAGCACACAGTCTCCAGAGCTTCACAGTGAAAGGTCTAAGCCTAACCTGAGTAACACTAAGTATCACCTAAGATTGGCTGCTAAATATGAAACAGCTAAGCACTGAATAGTACACAAAAATATCAGAGCAAATTACTCAAAGACTTTGGATGTAGAGCATCAGAGCACAGATAATTTACACAGCTAGTAAAAAATGTTCCATATCCATAAAATTAGTTCTTAGTTTAAAGGCTAAAAGTTTTGGGAGACATATTCTCATTGCTGCAATATACAGGTGAAGTAACTGAGATTATGAGTTTGGGAAATCAGTCTGTTCCTAGCAGAAGGCTAAGGTACCTGCAGATGTAATTACGTACGATGAGTATGTAATTGTTTGTAAGGCAATAAATTAATGCCCACCCTAGGCATAACTTTCCCTGGACAACCTGTGAATGAAAGCACTTAGAAATTTTGCCTTGCTTGTTTGGCCTGCTTTTCTTTCTCATTAGAATCTTCTTTAAGACTGTCTATTTTAAAAGCATCAACATGTATTTATGCAATTTGTATTCTAAAAAGAATTTCATCACAACAGTGAGGTAACGGTGCAGTATTAGAGCTTGGAGCACAATTCAGCTCCATACCCTAAGGAGATCTGCAGCTCAATAATATGCAGGGATAGTACTTACACACTGTATGGAATTACAAACTTAGATACTCTGCTGGAATACCATCACAAAGTCATGTGTTTTGAAATGACAAAATAAAAATCTGTCTGTTCACAAAAGGAGACAAGCACTTGATGGAGTTTCTTAAACAGCCCATCAAGAATAAAAGGATGGAAGTCATGTTTTATTTGGCAGCCCAATGTATTTCTGTGTCCAGAAGTAACTTGCTCCTTGTCAGCCAATTAATTTGTTAGTCTTGCAAGATGAGAACTAGTGTGGTACCAGTAAGGAAGCACAGCAAATGAATTAAATAAAGGAATATTTGCAAGGCTAGGGTTGATCCAATATTGACTTTTCCCCAATAAACACTTTGCATGCTTTTAGACTGTGAGATCCTACAACTCTGCAAGCCAATGTGCCAACTCAGGCATTAATGTACCTGAACAAATGGCATTATTAATGTTGTGCCATATAATGGTTCTTTACTAAATTATGATTAGTGGCAGTCCACTGAAACATTGTGGATTTAACTGCTTTTGCTGTCATAGAACAATTTGAAAACATAGTATTCCTTCCTAAAACATGTCAGCTTGTGTACCTACATTACACTGAAAGCATTTTAGAGCCTTCTTCAGTGTCTTCATTTTTGGTTTAGTAAATCCCATATTGAATGCTTAAGTCCCAAAAGTAGAATAAGATCCCTCTGCTAAAACGTGGCTGAAGAAAATGCCACATTTTTTATTAAAAAACAACACATGGAAAAATGCCTGTGATTATTTAAGCTTTTCTTTTTATTCCACTACAAGAAACTTCAGCTTAATTCCATGGGCAGTGTTATTGCACAACTTCAGAAAGGATTATGTACAAAACTGAAAAAGTTCTCCATATAGTAACAATAATTCCTAATAGTTGGCTATCCTGTGGTACATTTCCTTGTAGGAAATTCTGTGGAGGCCAAGAATAAAATGGACAGGAAGCCAACTGGAAAAAAAGGAAGAATACGCATTTTAGTTATTTAACTACCACTTTTATAGTGGTAGTTAAATCGTGAATTGTCAAATCTGGTTTACACATTGTTAGATGATGCCTCTGAATTTATGAGGGTTGATGGCAGGCATCCAGTCCATTTCTGCACCTGATTCTCCCAAGGAAGTTTCTTTGGGATAGGGTAAAAGGTAACTGAAGGAAGGGAGATCTGAGAAGCATGAAAAATTCTTTGTTTCCAATAAAATCCTTTTCTTGTTAAAATTTAATCACATTCCATTTGAATAAAGTTTGTTGTTTCCCTGGGAAACATACGGCGTGTACAGATGGGTGATGCGCTTTGTAAGTACAGTGAAATTGTCCCAGGCACCTTCCAGGAGCTGATCCACACACACAGGAGTGTGTCCTCTCCCGTACTCCAACCCTGGCAGGGCCTCTGATGGGGAACTGGCAAGGACAAAAAGTACTCAGCGATCCTGGACGGACAGTCCACAGCTTCAAGTCAGTTCAAATAGTATCGCAAAACGGCTGGTAGGAGTTGGAACGAGGCTATTTTTTTGGAAAGTTTCCTCTTCTGGTTCCTACCAGTGCTATGCAGTTTTGCATTTATCACCTGTGCTATTGTTAGCCATTACTAGGTGCTATGCTTGTCAGTGAGACAAAGATGAGAAAATTTATTGTGTGCTGAAAGCACGTTTCTGAGAGTCTGTGTACTTCATGGTGCCTTTGTGTGATAGAGACAGAAATCAGATTTTTCTCTCACAGAAACACCTATACTAAAAAGAGAAACTTCTTGGAGATACATCTATTTTAGGAGAGAAAAAGAGCAAAAATATATTTTCTCAAATTTTTTTTTTTTTTGGGGGGTGGAGTAAGAGTATAAGATTTTTCTTGAGGAAACAATGTGAAATATCTGTTTTTATTCCTTCCTTTATTCCTCTGCTTATTCCATTTCAAGAACCATTAGAAATTTATGCATGGTTATATAGTCTCAAAATTAATGAAGGTTTCTACTACTTAAACAATTTTTTCTGCTACTTAAGCAATATAACAACTCTAGTTATATTGATCTCAATTCAGTAAATACATCTCTGTGTACTGGGATGCTAAAAGAACTGCTGCTTTTAAAAATGCTATATACGATTGTCTTCCACCCATAACAAGTTTCTGTAGATTTTAAAGTACGCTATAAGCTTTAAAAAAAGGAAAGACATTGAAGAAAATGTAGATGGGGTTTCACACTTATTTTTGCACTCACTGAAATAGTGATGTTTCAAAGTGATCTTTATATCCTAATGACTCCTACTTCCTCAAAGAAAAGATGATTTTGAAGGAAATAAATACAAAATATAATGAAGTCTAAAGGGAAAGGATTTTCCAAAAAACCATAATGCATTGAAACAGAACTCTTCATAGCAGTACACACAACATCTTTGTTTTATTTTGGATTGGTTCAGGTCAAAACCAGAGAGAGACAAAGAATTCCACACCATTGTGTAAAAAATTAATGTTTTAGTAGTCAGAGCACTCAGTCAAAATGTTAAGACAAATCTCTGTCAGGGTTAATACAGGCTGGGGAATGACATTATTTTTTCTTATGGCAGCTGCAAAGTTACAAGGTTTTTGGTCTTCCATGGACAAAAATTGGAAGGATGCATCCCAAACATCAGGATTTTTATTTTTTTGTATTTCATTTGGAAGGGTTATTGCCAATTTAAGCATAAATCTAGGCTTTAAAATAACTTGGGTTTAGTTCCTTAGCAATTGAAACAGAAGATCAGAACATAATTGGAAAGGCATGTGATGGAATAAATCATTAGACTTTGTGCTTTGTAGACTTGTAGGCTGAAGAAATGATGCATTCCAAGTATCTCTGTCCTACATATAATATAATGGAAAATCATTAATTTTGAATTACTTATGAGAATGAGAAACAACATTTACATCAGAACGGGAAAATCTTGCATTGTTTATAAATGTGTCCCTCTTCAAAATTAAGAAAGGCTGCATTTGAACTGATGAGCAAGTTAAGATTTACTGGAAATCTAACCCTTCCCTTCCTAGGTAGAGCAGGGGTGCATTGGCCTTTGCCATTTCTTGCCTTTTCCCTGTTTTGTTATCCTTTTCCAATCACAGCTGCATTTGGCCTTACACCACAGTTACCACAATCTGTCACTTTTTTGGCTGTCCAAGCTCACAGTTAGCACCTCCCAGTAACCACGATGGCAGACACACGGGTGGTTCAAACAGTGGAAAGTTTCTCTTCCTTCTCAAAGCACAGTTCATCCAAACTGATGAGCTTTTCCTTCCGCAATGTTTCTGCACATGCAGCTCCAGTTGTCCTGGGGAGCCATGCACATGCAAGAGAAGCAAGGCTGACACACTTGGGCTGACAAGGTTCAGTTTCTTTTGGCTAGCAGTGTGCTCCTGAAGATTTTTACATCTGTGTGTGCCCGGGTTGTTACACCCCTGGAACAACGAGGGTCACACAAATGGCAGGAAGGGAAAATAAGAGGTCATGCAGAGCAAGGTTTCTGTTAATAAAAGGTCCTGGAGGACTCTGATCAACAGGGTTGATGATTAAGAAAATCAAGCATACTTTGTACAATCCAGCACTCCCCGCCCCCACTTTTTTTTTATTCTATCCAATTAGGATACATGATTTGTTGAAGATGTTTACATTAATATGCTTCTCAGGCAGTTTTTAATGATAAGGATTTCCCTAAGCATAACATTTTAACAGCAAAAAAAAGTTTATATAATAGCTTTCTCACTCTTTAGCATAACTGCTTATTAAAACTGAAAATAATTTGCTGATGATGAATCAGGTGCCTTCACTGTAGACTGTAACTTTGGGGAATTAGAGCCATTTTTGCAATAAGAAAATGACCAAAGTTGAGCACCCTCTGCTCATCTAGGATGCTTCAGGTTATTTTGCAATGTGTAAATGAGTGAGCCTTGGATATAAGAAATCCACCCACAAGACAATGTCTCTGCTCTTATTTTAATTATATTTTTTTGTACAGAAATGGTGATTTTAATTATTCTAAAGGCTAATGAAGTAGCACAACAGAGCTGCAGACTGATGTGAAGAGCTGCCTGCCTTGAGTTCATAGGAGAACTGTGTTTACAACTGACATTGTCAGAAGTTGGAGAGATGGACAGGAACAGACCAAATGAATCCCCTGAAAGCTTTAGTAGGGCCACAAGT